CTGTCCAGGAAGCATACCTAGCTGCCCAGGAAGCACACCTGCTGCCCAGGAAGCATACCTGGCTGCCCAGGAAACATACCTGCTGTCCAGGATGCACACCTGCTGTCCAGGAAGCACACCTGCTGTCCAGGAAGCATACCTGGCTGCCCAGGAAGCATACCTGCTGCCCAGGAAGCATAACTGGCTGTCCAGGAAGCACACCTGGCTGTCCAGGAAGCACACCTGCTGTCCAGGAAGCACACCTGCTGTCCAGGAAGCATACCTGCTGCCCAGGAAGCACACCTGCTGCCCAGGAAGCATACCTGGCTGCCCAGGAAACATACCTGCTGCCCAGGAAGCATACCTGCTGCCCAGGAAGCATATCTGGCTGCAGGATTGCACAAAGCTGGGCTGCCTCAGGCATGAGAGTTAGAGCCAGTATAGTGACTTCAGAAAGGAGATCAAATCCCATCTCCTGACCCTGGCAGGCTGTAATGAGCAGTAAGTAAGGTCTAATGATGGTGATTTTTTAAAAAACATTTTCATCTTATGTAGGTCCAATAATCTATTCTCTTTCCTTTAAATAAAACTTTTGTCTAAATTTTATCCTCCTCATATACCTTTCCATTTAAAACGGAAAAAAAAGAAAATTCATCAAAAAAGTTCTTTATTTTCCTCTAACTGCCCGATATTTTGTAATCACATAATTATTGGTAAAACCACCTTCTAGTCTGAGTCTTTCTCGTGTAATTTAAATAATTTTATCTCACTTCATTCATGTGATATTTTTAAACAAAGTTCCACCTTGTCCACTCAGCAATAACCCTTACCTAAAGATAGGATAGAAATGAGAGGTATTTTGTTGTTGTTACATTACAGAAGAAATTAGGATCCTCATGCTCAGCTACCTAGAGTGCTAATGTTCTGGGCATGCAACAGCACACCCATCACTCTTCACTGAAAAGCAAGCCTGTATTCTTTCATATAACTCATTGTCACACCCACGCATGTCAGGAACTAATATAGACATTAAAAAGGGCTCATGGATGGGGGAGATAGCTCAGGAGTCTAAGAGCCTTCCTGGTAAGCACAAGGACCCAGGTTCAATCTTTGGTGCAGCATGCCTTGCAGGCCCCAGAACCCAGAGTGCACAGTGCCGGCCACTGAAACTGGGAGTGGTGGTGCACTCCTGTAATCCCAGCACTGGGGAGGCTGAGACAGGAAAATCACTACGAGTCTGAACTGTGTGGCGAGATCCTGAGAGAGAGAGAGAGAGAGAGAGAGAGAGAGAGAGAGAGAGGAAGAAAATGTGATTAGTGGGATTGGCCCATGTGAGGACTATTTTAGCAGAGATGTCAGACTATAGAGATTACTAACTCAGTGTTTCTCTAAGTCATTCAGGGA